CAACCGAGGCATCAGCTGCCTTATTCTTCTTTTCAAAGCGAGCCAATGCTTTTACTAGAAAGGAAATGGAGAGTTATCAATACAAATAAACATATAAGCCGTGCATACATTTTAGGACACTACAGAAATACAAGGCCAAACCATCAGTAAATGAAATGGAACAAGAAACGACAAACAAAGAGCTTACAAGGATCGACAAGACGAGGAGCACTTTTATCAATGCAAATACCAACATGATTAAGTAAAGAAGTATCTTTGGTCAGTTGACGAGCACTCCACACATGTTGGTTTAACTCTTCTAGCATATCAGCGAACTGTGAAGAGTCGGGATGCTTACGCTGCTTTTTCTTACTAATGATCCACTCATTTGAGTAAGGATATTGGCCAGGAGCAGGTCGAATGAAGAAGTATTTCTTTTTCCATTCAGTAATATTGGAAGAAAGGTCATCAAGAAATGTGACACCTACTCGACGGCCTAGACAATGGGCGTCCTTGCTAAACCTATACCCGTAACAGTAAAGAAAAAACTCGGGCAAAAAATTACCTAAAACTATGCGGGTAACAACTATGAAGGCTACCATTATTCGAATAGAATTGGGGGTGAACTGGTTTATTGGTATATCGAAAAGGTTACTTAATGATTGCAGTTCAGGTTGAATCGGGAAACGTAGGCCCGACATTATTTGGTCCACGAAAAAAGTAAAACAACCCTTGGGAGGGTGGCGAAAGTCATCTTCGGGCTTAGGAGCAACTACGGCCCAGTCCGCGGGAAGACCGCTGAACTCCCTGAAGCCATCGATTTCGGCTGCAGGAGCATAAAGAAAACGATATTAAGAATTTACCATGGAACATGCTATAGTTGCAGACTCGATTAAGGAAAGTCGCCATAAAGGAGCAAGGCGAGTCGCATACAGGGGTTTTCAAAAGAATCTAGCGGAAAATACCTCGAGAAGCCAAGTCGGGATAGGAAGTTTCAAGGGTGTTGAGAACTTCGGGATCCTCACAAAGGGTGCCCGAAAGTAACGCCTGGTTATACACATCCCAGTCGATACCAAAAGGTGAGGCGGGCAAAGGGACAAAATCCTCCGGCTCGACGTTCAGATGAGAATATGGCTCGGCATCGTTCAGATGAACAGAGTCCGAATCCGAGTAGTTGTCGATCTCACGGGCAAGAGAACCGGAGATGGGGTCAGAAACAGGGTCGAGATCGGAATCTAAGAGGATAAAGAATGGCAATAAAGAAAAGTTGTCAGAAATCTCGATTCGATTTAAAAGAAAAGGGTCAACGAAATAGCCAGGATGACATGAAAAGTGTCCCGGCAACGGGAAGAAGGGAGGAGAAACGGGAAAAATCTTCCCCATAACGATTCAACTCGACAAGGGAAGATCGAGACGAGAAAGGAAAAAATCCGATCCCTCAAAACAAAATAACTAACAAAAAAAAAACACAAAAACACTTGGAGGAAATACAAAACCTACAATCAAAGATCTAAACGGAAAGATCGCCAGAAAACTCACACGCAGTTCCCAGAAAATGAAAGATATTCTTATTTCCAGACGAATTACCCAGAAAAAATAAAAAAAAGTGCTCTTATTGTGAACATATGAAAACAAGTCGAACAGGCCGAGAAAGCTTACTCATACTCATGATGCCTGACGGAAAGTCTTGAAAACTCGGAAAAGGGGGCCGGAGAATAGGAGCGCCGGAAAGCTGCGATTGCCGAAGAAAAATAGAGAATTTGGGAGAGATGGGTGCGAAAAGTGATGAAGAGGAAAGGTGAGTGTTACTTATAGAAAGGGCAAAGAAACCCCAACCATCGGATTAAAGTCATTTTCAACGGCAAAGATGGGGCACAGAATACGAAGCGGTGGAGAGAGAAAATGTCATCCTTTGGATTTTGAAATTTGAAAAGATTCAGACTTATCTAATCAAGTCAAAATTCGCGAAAAACGAGTCGAGGTAATGAATGGATGCAACCCGAGATGACAACTGATGACAGGACATATAAAAAGATCCGAGGAAAACATCCAATCGACAAAATCTACTCGTAAGCTCAGAATCGCTTCGAGTAATTTTGGGGGGGACTAGATGATAGCCATACTATCGTGCAACGGTTCAGTAACCGTGGCATTGTCACAATCGGTTCATAGCGGTTCATATCATCATGGTTCGGAACTGCCAAAGTCGATTACAACACAGTCG